ACTGTCACAGGTTCTGTGTAATCTGAGACAGAGACAGACTGTCACAGGTTCTGTGTAATCTGAGACAGACAGACTGTCACAGGTTCTGTGTAATCTGAGACACAGACAGACTGTCCCAGGTTCTGTGTAATCTGAGACAGACAGACTGTCCCAGGTTCTGTGTAATCTGACACAGAGACAGACTGTCCCAGGTTCTGTGTAATCTGAGACAGACAGACTGTCCCAGGTTCTGTGTAATCTGAGACAGAGACGGACTGACCCAGGTTCTGTGTAATCTGAGACAGAGACAGACTGTCCCAGGTTCTGTGTAATCTGAGACAGAGACAGACTGTCCCAGGTTCTGTGTAATCTGAGACAGACAGACTGTCACAGGTTCTGTTTAATCTGAGACAGAGACAGACTGTCCCAGGTTCTGTGTAATCTGAGACAGACAGACTGTCCCAGGTTCTGTTTAATCTGAGACACACAGACTGTCCCAGGTTCTGTGTAATCTGAGACAGAGACAGACTGTCCCAGGTTCTGTGTAATCTGAGACAGACAGACTGTCCCAGGTTCTGTGTAATCTGAGACAGACAGACTGTCCCAGGTTCTGTGTAATCTGAGACAGACAGACTGTCCCAGGTTCTGTGTAATCTGAGACAGAGACATTTAGTTTGTGTCCAATGTTGTGTTTTTAGTTTCATTTCTTTGGTTTCAGTAAGAGTTGTTTCTGGTTTCTCTTCATCATTTGTTTGTTTGTTTGTTTGTTTGTTTGTTTGTTTGTTTGTTTGTTTGTTTGTTTGTTTGTTTGTTTGTTTGTTTGTTTGTTTGACAGAGAGACAGTGGTTCAGGTGTGACTCAGCCTCACATGGAGGACAATCAGATTTATGCCTCAGCAGATGAAGGTAAATGATTGGATTAAGCTCCTCCCACATTAAACAGATCCACTTTACAGAAGACAAACTGACAGATGTTGAACATCTGTTCAGTGTTTTTCAATGTTCCACAACCTTTGATCATTTAAATCCTCACTTTTCTACAAACTCAGGCGAGAGTGAAGCACTTATCTGTGTGTTTGGTTCATGAGAGTTCTTCCTGTGGTCTGCAGCCCCTCAGTTCTGGGTGGTGATCCAGAGAACAGATGCAGCGACTCGATGTGGTTTGCAGGGTTTTTACTGGCTGCAGGTGGGACCAGAATCACTGCTGCTGAGAGAAACACAGAAGAAGACGGTCATTAGGGAGTGGCCATATGAATTGCTGAGACGATATGGAAGTGATAANGGTTTTCATCAGTCCCTGCTGCAGAGAAACAGCCCACAGCATGCTGCTGCCTCCACCGTGCGTCAGATGTTTCAGATGTTTCCAGGGAGGGACTCTGCCTTGAAGACCAGGTCAGAGAGRGCCTGTAGTTCTGGTTCTGGATCTTCGTCTCATCAGGCTCTACTCAGAATCAGGCTGAGCAGAACCTGAATGAACTGAAACAAACAGAAAAGTTCTGRAGAGAGAAGCTGAAACTTTGTTTTTAACAAACATGTTTTATAAAATCTGTCAAACTGATTTTCATTAAAGCAGCAAAATGTTACAAAATTAAAAGGTTTCCAACATTTTCCAGATTAAGAGTAAACTAGTTCTTCTCCTTCAGCATTAGAACCTCAGGAAGGGTCTCAGAGCTGAAAGTGGGTCAGAAMAGGAGCAGAGTGAAGAACCGTGTTGTGTCATGAAGGATCACAGAGAACCTGCTGGAGCTTCAGGCTGGATCTGCTGCTGCTGGAGAAACCAGGCAGCCGAGCATGAAGAGCCTGTTACATGACATGAACATCAAGAACGGCCTCCTCGTCGGCTCATATACAGCCGAAGTTTCACCAGCTCATATACAGCTGAGGCCTCATCGGCTCACCTGCAGCCAAGGCTTGCTGAACCAAGGAACAAATCATGACGTGAGCTAAAACATTTCTGGAGACATGTTAGTGTGCCAACACAGCAGCTGAAACTCCTTCAGCTGTCTTCTTCAAAGCCGAAGAGGAGCAGGATTTGTCTGGGACAGAACTAGACTCTTGTTTTGAAGAGGAACTTCAGGTTTGGAGGAGAAGCTGTGAGTCGACTCACAAACAGCTGAGTTTTTATTCAGGAAGTTTTGTTTTATTTTGTAACAACATGAGAGAAATCTTGAATTCAGATCATTTATTTAATGACGTTTGTCTCTGATGAACATKAACTTTTAGTTCCATCTTTATGTCTAACAGCTGAAAACAGACAGGGAGCTGTCGCCCCCTGCAGGTTGCTTCATGAGTTTCAGTTCAGTTATTTAACCTCCTTTATCAGAACCGGACCAAGTCTTCAGTTGTCCTGTGGTTCTGCAGAACCTGTCTTCAGCTAAAAATGGGTCCAGATTCTAACTGAGGTCTTGGAGCAGTTCTCCATAGACCTGAAGACTTTGTTGGATTAAAACCAGCGTCTCCACATCATGTTCCTCAGATAATCTCCTCTTTAATCCACATGTTTCAGTGTAAAGAACCAGCTGGAACCTTCTGTTTGTTCTCCAGGAGGAGGGGACCACAGCCCCGTGGTCCGGAGACACCACCAGCCTGCTGGGGACAAGAAGGTGAAGGTGATCCTCCTGTCAGAACTGATCAGTGTCCTCAGACTGCCCCCCAATGCCGAGGCCTGTCCCATGGTCCGTCTCTCAGTCCTTCATGGTTCCAGGGTCGAGTGTGAGAACCGTCTCAGAACCTGTGCTCTGTCTGCAGGAGAACATGTCGGCGTTTTGTGTGGAGACTCAGGACAGAACCCTGGTGTTCTCCGCTCTGAAGGAGGACTGTGTTGACTGGGTGGACAAACTGTGTCTCTGCAGCTTTCAGGTGGGTGTCTCCTGTCCCACACCGGCAGGACAGAGACAGACTGTCCCAGGTTCTGTGTAATCTGAGACAGAGACAGACTGTCCCAGGTTCTGTGTAATCTGAGACAGAG